GCACTCCTCTAATCAGAAGCAGATTTGGTCTTTACATAATCCCATACTTCTTGCAGGCTTTGTTTCATTTTTCTTCTGTTTTTAGTTTCTTTCTTACTTATTTATTCTATTTGATTCACCGCCGAGTAAAAAAGCGAGTGATTCGAGCGGGTTACCGCTTGTGCATTTGTCACGCATTTCTCCTTTCGTGGTTTTCATTCTGTCCATTCGTTTATGGCCTTCTCTGCATTAATTATTCTAGTTATCAATTCTTCCACTTTTTTCAAGATTTTTAGTTTTTTTGCTGGGTATGTAATTCCTCCTTTAACTCTGAGTAGTTTGATGGACTGGAAGCCTTCTTTCTCTCATCTCACAAAGTCATTCTCCATCCAGCTTTGATCCGTTGCTGAGATGAGCTAAGTGCTTCCTTTGAGGGAGAGATGTTTCTTATTTTTTTGAATTTCCAGCTTTTCTGCCCTGCCTGCATCTTGTGGTTTTATCTGCCTCTGGTCTTTGATGATGGTGACGTACTAATGGGTTTTGGTGTGTGTCCTTCCAGGTTTGTTAGTTTTCCTTCAACCATTGTAGGGAATCTTCTAGTTGTAGGTCTGTTGGGATTGCTTGAGGTCCACTCTGTGACACTGCTTGTCAGATCAGCAGCAGAGGCTGCAGGAAGAGGTAGAATATTGCTGAACAGCGAGTGTAATTGTCTGATTTCTTGCTTTGGGAAGCTTCCTCTCAGGGGTGTACTCCACCCTGTGAGGTGTGGGGTGGGCCAGGATCGCCTCAGTGGGAGATGTCTCCCAGTTAGGTTACTCAGGGCCAGGACCCACTTGAGCAGGCAGTCTGTCCCTTCTCAGATCTCAACCTCCAAAAGCAAGAGAGATCCACTGCTCTCTTCAAAGCTGTCAGACAGAGTCGTTTGTGTCTGCAGAGGTTTCTTCTGCTTTTATTGTTGTTTATCTGTGCTCTACATCCCAGAGGTGGAGTCTAGAGAGACAGGCAGACTCCCTGAGCCGCCGGTGAGCTCCACCCAGCTGGAGCTTCCCAGCTGCTTTGTTTATCTACTTAAGCCCCAGCAATGGCGGCGCTCCTCCCAGGCTGGCTGCTGCCTTGTGGCGAGATCGCAGACTGCTGTGCTAGCAATGAGGAGGTCAGGTGTGGACCCTCCCGGCCAGGATATAGTCTCCTGCGTGCCCATTTGCTAAGATCCTTGCAGAGCGTAGTATTGGGGGTGAGAGTTACCCATTTTCCAGGTGTTGTGTGTCTCTAGTTCTGGCTAGAAAAGGGATTCCCTTCCCCTTGCACTTCCCGGGTGAGGTACTGCCGCCCTGCTTCAGCTGCTTTGGCTGATCGGGCTGCAACAGCTGACCAGCACCGGGATTGTCTGTCACTCCTCAGTGAGATGAACCTAGTAATCACAGTTGATAATGCAGAAATCAATCGTCTTCTGTGGGTCGCCTCACGTTGAGAGCTGAGACTGGAGCTAACTCTTATTTGCTATCTTGCTCCACCCCCTCAGAATTTTCTAACTTTGAAGTCACTGAAAGGTTAGTGCAGTAGATATTGAAATATATATTTAATTTTCTTAAAAGGACAATTAAAATGCAAAATTATGTCACTACAGGAAAGGTTAGAGGTTGACAAACCAGAAAACTAAAGTTTACAGTCTGAGTACAGAGAACCATTTATGTTTATTTTGTAGGAGAAAATGCAGAGTATCTTTCAAGATTTGAAATTTGTTTTAATATACAGAACCATATTGTTTAATAAAATGAAAAATTAAGTATATAATGAGAGTTTAGATAGCTGATAATATTTGAAAGGACCATTTACAAACTGGGCACGTGTGTGAATGTCATTAGGAATCACAAATGCGAAGCCTTTAATAAATGTTCTAGGATATTATATTCTTTTTTTTTTTTTTTTTTTTTTTGAGACAGAGGCCTGCTCTGTCACTCAGTTTAGAAACTTGCAGCATCTGGCTCACTGCAACCTCTACTTCCTGGGTTCAAGCAATTCTCCTGCCTCAGCCTCCCTAGCAGCTGAATTGCAGGTGCGTGCCACCACGCCTAGTTAATTTCTTTGTATTTTTAGTGGAGACGGGTTTTCACCATGTTGGCCAGGCTGGTCTCCAAACCCTGACCTGACCCACCCGCCCTGGTCTCCAAAGGTGACTACATGTCACCACTGCGACACAACATCCTCAACACGTCCTGTCCTTAGGTCATGGTTCATGTGTTTATATAATTAAAAATATGGGTGTTTAGAAGGGATGACTCAGTTTTAAAATAATGAATAATAATTTAAACATCATTAAAAATAAATTTAATTTTCTATATTTCTTTCTTTTCTCTCTGTATTTGTATATCTTTTACTGTGGTAAAACACTTAACATGAAATACATTCCTTAACAACAAACTTTTAAATATATAATATTGTACTGTTAACTATAGGCTCAATGTTGAAAAACACATCTGTAGAACTTATTTCTCTACAGCTTGAAGTTTTCTTTGCCTGAAAAATGTCCAGCAGGATATTATAGCAAATTAAGAACATGGTTGTGCAAATCAGACTGCCTGGGTTTTAACCTTGGTTCCAGTAAGCTACGAAGACTGACCATGTTACAGCAACTCACCTCTAGTTTTTAATTCCAGCGTAGCGAGGTGATGATGATTGTATATCGCAGGCAGCGTAAAGCGGCTAAAATGAATTGATATGGGCAAAGCACTTAAAATAGAATATAGTATATAGTTAGAGTTTATTAAATGTTAGACACTCACGCCTTAAATACATAATTTTCAACTCATGAATCATAATTCCACAAAGTGATAACTCCACTTTGGGAGACAGGATAACACATTGGAAAATTTGGTGGAAAGATTGGCATTTTGCGGAGGTGTTGAGGCTATAACATAAGACATGAAAGCAAATTTATGGTGGCTTGTGGCACTGATGACGGGCGGCATGTTGCTGTATGGGAGGAAGTGGACTATGATTGGAATGACAACATAGACAAAAGCCTGAAGAAATAAATAACCCATAAGATTTTGATGGGAGGGACAACGGAGTGGCAGCGGATTTATTTTTTCAATTTGGGAGAATTTATGTGTAGTAAATATGACTCAGTAATTTTAAGTAACAGGAGTACCACTAAATACTTAAAAATTATATCTTGTTACATATTTTTAAAACTTTAATATTCCTGATCTCATTTGAGGTATATACAAATGCCCTCTATAAAAATGCAAGATAAGTATTTTTATTACCATTTTACAAATGAGGAAGCTGAGGATTAGAGTTTATGTCATTTGCTTAGAATTACGTAACTAGTAAGGCTAGAAGTACCAGGTTAGCATCCAGGTTTCTGATTCCAATCTAGTGCTCTTCTACCATACTATGCTACTTGCTGAATAGCAGAAGTCCCAGTAAATTGAGAAAATGAAGATTGAATTTTGTGATAAATATTATGTTTGATCTTTGTCTCCAGCAAGGGAAAAATAGTATAGGGTAAGAGTATACGGATGGCCAGGTCACAGGTATATTAAAAGTAAGTGGGCATGTAATACTATTATGCCTTTAGAAGTCCTTTCTGTTTATGTTTTTGTAATTTTTTCCCCATGACTACAACATTAGAAATGAAATAGAAATAATGTACCCATGGCAGACTAGATAGAAAATTTCCCAAAGTTTTCTTTTTCTTTATAGTTACTATTTATTTCCTCTGGAGGTAATGTACCTTAAAAGGCAAAGCTAAAGGACACACTACACTTCAGCAAAAACTTGTCCACGAATATTATATTTCAGCCCTAGATGAGTTGTTGTGACTGTTTTAAGATCAAAGCGTCCACTGTAATATAAAAGTCACTGTAAACATATCCATGATAATTCTGTCAACAAAATACAATAAAAAGTAATAAAACAATAATAAAACTTATAGTTACTTCTCTAGCCATAATGCATATCATAGAGGAAAATCTCTGCATAAAGTTGTTGAATACATATACATAAAGGTATGCACTTCTTAAAATAATTTGTAACATGAATATCTTACAATTTTCTTCATCAATCCCTTGTAGTTTATTTCTGATCCCAGTAATTGGCATATAGAAAAGTAGATTTTTCTCTTCTCTTCTTCAGATAAATTTTTAATTACTTCTAGTTATATAAGGGAGTGCCAGTTGTCTGGCTTCTTAAGGAAGAATTTTATGTCATGGATGGAGAGAATTCTCTACAGGAACCTCACTGAGCAGCTAAAACTCCACTATTCAATTTTGGGAGCCTGAGGCAAAGGCAGGAAGAAAACTGAGACAAACTGGCTTTTGACCAGATTTCTCCTGTTTCCCCATATTGAACATTGCATGGGTGCCTTTAGGACCATTTAGCTTGAATACTAGTCTGTTCTAGCACTTTACATTCTCTTTTGGAAGAAATGGCCCTAATTTGCCCAGCCAATCAGTACTACAAAGAAAGCTGACAGTACATTTTATTTAGCTTCTGAGTCATCTCCAGTTCTCATCCGATGCTATGCATGCAAAGGAATATGTTAGAATGATTGAAAACTCTTTGCCAATTTTATATCTATTTTTATATTTTATAACTTTTAGCTTACATATATTTTATATTGACTAATTTTATGTATTTTATCCTTTGTAAAGCTTTTATTTGAAAAGGAAAACTTTAATATAAGACACATTTTATAGTGCAAACATACAAATATTCTCCAAATTCTGGTAAGTGGTCAAAATTATTTATAATTTAGTTCAGTTGTGGACTGAATTTTAGCACTTAAAATATCTATAAATATCTAATCATGAATGCAAAATGAGATAGATTTGTAAACCCAAACAGTTATTAAGTATTTGTAAAATATTAATGAAAATTGTGGCTTAAACATCGGCAAAATATTTATTTGGGAAACTATTTTCATTGGTTTGGACCTGGAAAATGGGTCAAACCACATATGAGACTTTTTCTGGCAAAGAGGCCTTTTGTAGGGAGAGAAGCAGGTGATAAGAATGTTAATGATAGCCTTTCCTGTTACCTCCAGAAAAGAAATACAGGAGAGGGTCAGCCAACAATTTGATGCAGCCAGAGACAATGTTATGACCACTTGGACTCTGCATTCTAAGGACAGAATCACAGGTTTAGTTTCCTCATTGTGTAAAAAATGAAGGTGAATGGTACGTTGAATATGATATGGCATGAAACTGACTAAAAGACAGTGGTCGACCACGATCATTCCTACAGCCTTTTTACGACTTGGCAGATTTTTTTTCATTGATTTTTTTAGTAAGGTCAAAATGATCATTGTGTAACAGACAATTATAATAACAAAAGGGATGATAAAGCCAACAAACAATGACACATAATGCAAGACCAAAACATGATTTTTAGTTTGATTTTCTGGTTCTGTGGGGCTCAAAACACTTGGTATTATTTTTCTCATCTTTTTGTGGTTTAGCCATTAGAAATGGAGAACTGGTCAAAATCACAAAATCCAAATACCAGACACAAACCTGGCTTTTTTCTGAGTAACCAAATTAATGTTCTGGACTGGAAAAACAATTGCAATGCACCGGAAAAAGCTCATGGCTGTCATAAAGAAGATGCTACAATAGAGGCTGACATACAAAGCATAGGTGTTGAGGCGTGGTGCATAAGAAGTCACCAAAGAACTAAATGTTTTGTGAACATAGTAGACTGATACGGAGAGGCAGGCACACACAAAGTAGATCTGCTGTCAAATTAATCATGTATACTTGGAAGGCTGACTTCTCATGATAGGTTTTTATGAGGACATAGAGCACAAAGCCATTGCCAAAGAAGCCTACAACAGAGATCATAGAGTACAAGGTGGAATACACTTGATTGCGGAAGTCATCAATAGTGTCGTGGTAATGTGGCAGAAGATACTGTCAGATTTGCGGTTCATCCATGTTTCCTCTTAGGAACAATCTTGCTTTGTGCCTACAATAACAAACAAAAAAATTGTCAATTTTAACTAGACCATAAATTGAGCAGGGGAAGTACTAATGTTTCATTTCATAGTGTCACTATGTATACTTTTGACCACAGTAGCAAGGCAAGAGTAGAGGTACTGAAGAGGATTCAGCTGTACCTTACCTCTGGAGGAGTTTGCATCCTACAGGCATTCCAAAACTTTTTTTTGTCCTTTCCTTCCCATGTTTTTCTGATGGACTTCCTCTAAATCTTCAAGACCTAGGTAAAACAGCCTCCTGTATTTTAAATCATATTACCTCTAGTACAATTTGCAGGTTATCCTTTCAAATGAACTTGTTTTTCTATTAGAGAAAAGCTTTAAGATAGCAGTTTCACATGTATGAATGTGATTTGGTAATTTACATCTATCTATTATTGAAAATCTCTGGAAATATTTTTTTGAGAATAAAATCTGATGAAAATGCTTGTCTTCAGGAAGAGGACTTCCTTGGTAATATCTGTTGAGTGTCGCCCACACCTGTGGAAAATAATCTAATTTGCTGTTAATGAAACCTCTCCCCTGGGGAGAGAAGACCCAGGAACATGGCTGACTCACCTTATAATCGTGAGAACTCCAAGTGCAAAAGAAACCTTAGGAAGCCATATAGTTGTTTTAATGATGAGAAAATGTTCCATAGTGATAAATACATTTGTAAAATTCACCAGTATTAAATCCCTCTGAAGAAAGATGTAGCATGCTATTGGAATATACTTGCTGGGTAGAAAATATAGCCATTCACTTTTTTGTCTTTCTAAACTTTATAGACTTTACTGTTTAGCAATATATAGTTATTTCCACTTATAGGAAGAATTTCTTGTAGTTGATACTTGCTCTAGTCTGTTTCAGCTATGTCAATGAGGGCAGTCAATAAGTTCTGACTGTGAGAAGGCTTGAGGTGAGATATTGTGCGGTAGAAGTAGTGATATGCTCCTCATGTTTCTCTAGATTATCCTCTTTATTCTTTATAAAGGTTGAAGACCTAACATGTAACATGTCAGATAATCTTTGATTGAAGTCTGATGTTGGCCTTTTTACACAACCCTGCTCCCTTTGTAAGAGAGGTGTGTTGGGGGTTTGTAAGGTGGGAAGATCGCTTGAGACAAAAAACTGCCAGCCATGAAGGGGACTGATCTTTACTAGGGATACAGAAACAGATAGCTATGGTAGTTGTTGCAGGTAGGGCTATAACTTCCCAGGTTTACTACTACAACAATTATATTTGCTGTTGAGGATGGTGTCCATCCGTCTAGCCATCCCAGCAAGTTGTTCCGCATTTTTTCCCTTTCATTAAAAAATGCCATTTGTATTATTGTTACCAAGAACCTTTGGTATAAGATAAAAATTGGATGGATTATCTGAGCCAAGATGGCCAATTATATAGCTGAAGAGCTTCTTCCACCAAAAGACCAGACTGTGAAGAAGATTGACACACTCCAAATTGATCCTTGTAAAAGCATTGAAAGTGGACAGATGGAGGATGGTGTCCCTGAACAGGCAAGGGGAGGAAGCTGAGAACACTGCACAGGGGTACCAAGTACTAGGACTCATTCCTGGCCCAGAGCAGCTCCTGGGGAAGAGATGAGTGAAACAGGCATGGAGTGGCTTAAGACACAAGTGGCTGGTGGATTTGGAATTTAACTGCAGGAGACCCCATGTTCTCCAGTGGACATTTGAGCTTGGTAGGGAACTGCCTAGAGATTGGCAGAGACAGAAATCCAGCCTGAAGCAGAGCCCATATATTTGCACCAGAATGACTATGATATGTGGAGCATGGCCATGGTTCACAACATACCCAAGGACTTAAGGCTTCCCCAAGTAGCTTCAACCTTTGTTGACTACAGACTTTACAGAGCAGGCTATTCTGCTCATAGGATAGTGGTAGTCTGATCTGAGATACTCCTTGTCTGCTGGATCCTCCCAGGGTCCCTGCCTGGCCACACCTGCTTGCAGCACAGCCTCAGCTGCTCAGCCAAATAACTTGCTAGCAGACACCACCTTAGCTCTTCACCAGATGACCCTGCATAACAGTCAGAGAGAGTTTTTGTAGATAGATCACACAACATACCGTTTGCATCCTCTCCCCCACCACTTCACCAGTACATGTGCAAGACCTCACTACAATTCTCCACCACCCTGAAGTGGTTTTGCTGGCAGTCCTTGTTGATGTGTTGTTGTCAGTAGACTGGGAACACCTGGTTCCTCCAGCAACAGGTCCTTAATCTGAAGGATCAGGGCGAAAACTGTGGACTGGTCCCAGTCCAACAAGCTGTTAAACACACAGCTCAGGGAGGATGGGGCGAAACTTGACCCTGAAATTATCCAGAAACAAAGTCAATTGACTTAAACTTAATAGGCACAGTCAAACCTCAAGGGTATCAAAGAACATAAAAGCAAAAAGTTTGAAAGAAGAGCAACTCCAAACCTTAAAGGACATCAGCCCACACAATTAAGAAAGAACCAGTGGGAGAGCTCTGACACCTAAAATCCAGAGTATCTTCTTATCTCCAAATGACCACACTGGCTCCTGAGGAATGATCTTTAACCAGATTGAAATAGTTGAAATGACAGACATAGAATTAAAAATCTGTGTGGCAACAAAGCTCATTGAAATTCAAGAGCAAGCTTTGCAACAGAATTCAAGCTAATGAATCAATAAATGATACATATTAAAAGATAAAATAGCCATTTTGGAAAGAAACAAACTGATCTTCTAGAGCTGAAAACTCTCTAGAATGTCATAATGCAAATGGAAATATTAACAGCAGAACAGACCAAGGTGAGGAAAGAATCTCAGAGCCCTCAAAGATCAGTTCTCAGGAAATAACTTGAACAGACAAAAATAAAGAAAAATAAAGAAGAAAACCTCTGAGAAATATGGGATTATGTAAATAGACTGAACCCATGACTCATTGGCATCCCAGAAAGACAGGGAGAGAGAGCAAGCAACATGGAAAGATCAGAACACAAGTCCATTCATACAGCCAAAAGAGTAAAATTAGTGGGAATACAGCTAGCAAGGGAGGTGGAAGATCTCTACAATGAGAATTACAAAACTCTGCTCAAAGAAACCAGATATGACATAAACAAATAGAAATACATTTTGTGCTCCTGGAGGCGAAGAATCAATATTGTTAAAATGGCCACTGCCCATTTATGATTTAATTATTCCTAAGAACTACTAAACATCGTTTGGTAACTGTAAGAAAATCACTCTAAATTCATATGGCACCAGAAAAGAGCCTGAACACCCAAAGCAATCAAGCAAAAGAACAAAGTTGGGAGATCATAATTACTTTAAACTACAGTACAAAGCTAGACAATAAAACACATAATGCGGTATAAAATAGACACATAGACCAATGACACAGAATAGGATTCAGGAAATAAATCTGCACACCTACAACCATCTGATATTCAACAAAGTCAATAATAACAAGCCAAGTGAGGTGATCATTCAAAAAATGGTGCTGTGATAATCAATAGTGCCATATGCAGAAGATTGAATCTGGACCACATCCTTTCACTATCTACAAAAATAAACTCAAGATGAATGAAAGACTTAAGCATAAGACCTAAAAGTATAAAAACCCTACAAGAAAACTTAGGGGGCGGAGCAAGATGGCTGAATAGAACAGCCCAGTCTCCAACCCCAGCGTGAGCGACACAGAAGACCGGGGATTTCTGCATTTTCAACTGAGGTACTGGGTTCATCTCACTGGGGAGTGCCAGACGATCGGTGCTGGTCAGCTGCTGCAGCCCCACCAGCGAGAGCTGCCAAGGAGGCGGTGCATTGCTCACCTGAAAGCGCAAGGTAAAGGGAATCCTTCTAGCCAGGGAACGGAGACACAACACTGGAAAATCGGGAAATCTCCCACCGAATACTGCGCTTTTAAGCAGAGAGCAAATGGTGGAGATCATCTCACACCTGGCCGGAGTGTCCCACACCGCACGAGCCTCTCATTGCGGCACAGCAGTCTGTGATCTAATGGGTGCAGCAGCGAGGCTGGGGGAGGCGCCATTGCTGAGGCTTATAGTGTAAACAAAGCTGCTGGGTAAAGCCAATCTGGGTGGAGTCACAGCAGCCTGGGTGAAACCTGCCTGTCTCTGTAGACCCCACCTCTGGGGACAGGGCACAGTAAATAATAACAAACGCAGCAGCTCTGCAGACGCAAACGACTCTGGTCTTGGACAGCTTTGAAGAGGGTGAAGGGACTTCCAACACGGAGGTTGAGATCTGAGAAGGGACAGACTGTCACCCAAGGGGTCCCTGGCCCCTGAGTAGCCTAACTGGGAGACATCCCCCACTAGGGGCAGTCTGACACCACACCTCAAGTAGGGTGGAGTGACACCTGAGAGGAAGATCAAAGCAAGAACTACAGGTACACTGCTGTTCAGAAATATTCTATCTTCTGCAGCTTCTTCTGCTGCTGATACCCAGGCAAACAGGGTCTGGAGGATTCTCAAGCAATTCCTACAGCTACAACCTAAAGCTGAGGATCCTGACTGTTAGAAGGAAAGCTATCAAACAGGAAGGACACCTACACCAAAACCCCATCAGTACATCACCATCATCAAAGACCAGAGGCAGATAAAAACCACAAAGATGGGGAAAAAGCAGGGCAGAAAAGCTGGAAATTCAAAAATAAGAGCGCATCTCCCCTGGCAAAGGAGAGCGCAGCTCATCGCCAGCAAACGGATCAAAGCTGGACGGAGAATGACTTCTGACGAGAGAAGAAGGCTTCAGTCCATCACCCTCAGAGCTAAAGGAGGAATTACGTACCCAGCACAAAGAAACTAAAATCTTTGGAAAAAAAGTGGAAGAATTGATGGCTAGAGTAATTAATGCAGAGAAGCTCACAAACGAAATGAAAGAGACTAAAACCATGGCACGAGAAATACGTGACAAATGCACAAGCTTCAGTAACCG